TCAAACAGAACCTATATGGTTTTAAAACTGTATCTCTACTTAATGGGGTCGGTTACACCCTATTATGGAGATATTTTAGGGGGGGAGTGCACCCCTTAAACTCTTGAACAGTTTCAAAACTATTTCCCACGATTTAGGGGCGATTACACCCCACTTAGGAATGATTTAAGGGGCGGTTACATCCCCTTAATCCCCTATAAATAAGAAGAAACTCAACTGAGTTAAAGGTTGGAACTTCTTGGCTCAGATTGACGCTTCGGCTTGGCAGCAACAAGAGAGATCCTTGGGCGAGCTTTTGAGGAGATCAGCATCATCCTCCAAAGAAGATCATCTTCAACTTCGACAACAGAGAGCCTTCATCCTTGGCTTATCATCGACCTTTGGTTAAATCAACTCTTACATAGAGTTTCAAACTCGTTCAGAGTTATCAACTCATCAAGAGTTTCAAACTTGCCACACAAGTTCTTCATAGCGTCAAATCGTGAGGAGAAGACATCGTTCTAGTGAAAGAGTTTCAAACTTGCCACACAAGTTCTTCATAGCGTCAAATCGTGAGGAGAAGACATCGTTCTAGTGAATCAAGATGTTCGGATCATCAACGGTTCTTCATAGCGTCAAATCGTGAGGAGAAGACATCGTTCTAGTGAATCAAGATGTTCGGATCATCAACGGAGAGCAAATTCGATGCAAGCATTCGAAGGAGGCACTCCATTGTCACCATGAAGAACCTAGAATTAAACAAAGGGGAGAATCTAAATCATTCTCTTCTCTTTTGTAATCAGGAAATCCAATTCGAAGGAGGCACTCCATTGCCACCATGAAGAACCTAGAATTAAACAAAGGGGAGAATCTTATTGGTGACGGATCTAACCTGTCGCTAATACTTATTGTTGACAGATCGAATCCGTCGCCAATAAGTATTGGCGACGGAACATTAGTGACGGATCAAATCCATCACTAATACTTCTCGGCGACGGATTCGAATCCGTCGCCAGTACTTATTGGTGATGGATTTGATCCTTCGCTAATGTTTTCCCATCACCGAAGGTTATGGGCGATGGAAAATCATTGGTGATGGATTGAAATACATCGCCAATACAAACATTGGCGACGGAAACTACCTTGTCACCAATGTTTTACCGCTAATGTTTGTATTGGCGACGGATTTCAAATCTGTCGCCAATACTCAGTTTTTTACTAGTGTGAGTCTATGTCCCCGACATAGTCTGCATCACAAAAAGCCCTCTAACTATAAATCCGCCCTGCCATACTCAAGATAACGGTCAGACGAGTATCTCAAGTAGTGTAGAAGCCACTTGACGGCACCCAATGGTGCTTCCCTAGATTGCTTATGAAGCGGCTCACAACTCCCACTCCTTGTGCAATATCTAGCCTCGTGCACACTATCACATACATCAAACTCCAAACAACAGATGTATATGGTATATTGGCCATGAACTCATGCTCTTTAATAATCTCTGGTGCTTGGGTCTTCAATAGATTGAAATGGCAAGCAAACGACGAGCCCACCGGTTTAGCTTTCTTCATACCAAACTTTTTAAGAATCTTCTCAATATAGGCCTTCTGAGACAACCTCGACCTACGTGCTGATCTGTCTCTGATGATCCTCATCCTAATAATCTGGTTTGCTGGACCTAGATCCTTCATCTCAAAGCACTCGGAGAGACGCCTCTTGAGTTCTTTAATGCAGGCCAAGTCGGATCCTGCAATTAACATGTCATCAACATAAATTAAGAGTATCACATAGGATTCGCCACACCTCTTGATGAAGTAGCAGTGGTCTGTGTCGCATTTAAAAAAAATTGTTCTCCTCCATAAAGTTCTCGAACTTGATGTACCGATGTCGTGGAGCTTGCTTCAGGCCATACAAGCTCTTGCGTAGGCAACATATGAGGCCTTCCTTATCTCGTTCCTCGAAGCCCACTGGTTGATGCATATAGATCTCTTCCTCCAAATATCCATGAAGGAATGTCATCTTCACATCCATCTGCTCTAGATGGAGATCTCGAACTGCCAGAATGCTCAGCACAATTCAGATCGTGGTCAACTTGACGATGGGAGCGAAAATGTCAAAATAGTCTATCCCTGCTTTCTGCCCATACCCTTCACTATAAACATCACCTTGTAGCATCTCCGTCTATTGGCTTCATCTTTGACCTGATAAATCCACCGATTGTGAAGAGTCTTTCGTCCTCTTGGAAGCTTTATGAGCTCCCAAGTCTCATTCTGATAAATCCACCGATTGTGAAGAGTCTTTCGTCCTCTTGGAAGCTTTATGAGCTCCCAAGTCTCATTCTTCGTCAAGAATTTTATTTCTTCCTCCATGGCAGACTCCCACTCGTCCTAAGCTTTGTCCGTCTGTTGTACCTCCTCATATCTCTTTGGCTCACCACTGTTAGTCAGGAGAAGATAATTCATGGTGGAAAGGTACCTCTCTGGCACCCTCGGATTTCTTGATGCTTTGTGAACTACGATTGGCAGCTCTAGTGAATCATGTTGCTATGCATCCGACATGTTCTCTTAGTCTTCATCTTCTATGCCGACTGGTATCTCACTGTCATCCTCACTATCTTTAATATCTGGGAAAATAGAGGGAGATAACTGACTCCCACTCACCTCTTTGGTCTTGTACACTGCATCATCATAGAACACGACGTCACGACTACACACCACCTTGCGTGCATCGTGTTCCCAGAAACAGTACCCATACTCATCTCCTCCATTGCTGATGAAAGAGAGCTTCTTTGACTTTGGAGAAGTGGTGGCGCAATTCGATGTTCATCTCACTGGAACAACCGTCGAAACTCTCGTGGTAGAGTTTGATCAAGCCAAGTTTGAGGAGGCTATCTCCTCCGGATCACTAAGCCCTAAGGCTATGCGTAAGATCCACAAAGTTTCTAAAGAAACTAAAGCTCCAGTTGTGGCCGACTCATCAAAGGGCTGTCTCCCCTGGGGGTAGCACTGTTCATACAGTCCCCTCTCTGAAGGAGAAGACTTAGCTTCGGCACAACTCCAAGAAAGTCGATCCTCCAACCAACGCGTGCTTCGTGTTTGTGAGCCTAAACGCGACCATGAGCTTCGTGTTTAGACATAAATTAATTGTGCGTATATAAATTGTGATTTTTGTGGGCTACATAACCTACGATATTTGTAAATTTTTGTTCTTTTGGAATGAATATAAATATATAAATTAATTGTGTGCCTAATTATATACTTTCATGGGCTGTAAATTTTTTTGTTTTGAATTATTGTAAATTAGTTGTATGTAAATAAAAATTTTCGATTTCCATGGGCTATAACCATAATTTTTGTTAATTTTTTTCCTTTTAAAAGAATGTTAATTAATTGAGTTTATATTAAAATTCGTTGCTAGTCAGGTATTAAATTAATACCTGACTAAAAGTGGGTATTAACCCCCTTCTTTTAATTATTATAAATTTTTTTGTTTTGAATATAAAGTGGATCCTAAAATTTGAGCTATCGGAGATGTGAACGTGGGGGCGTGGGGACAACACCCACTTTCAGCAGCAAGACGCGGTTTTCATTTCCGCGTATGACAAAAAAAAGGATTTCTTTTGTCATATCAACCCCAAGTCTTTGTTAATTTTATATTAAACCGTTAAATCTTTAATTTCTATATAAGACCCGTAAATCTTAATAATGGCCTGAAGAGGTCTTATTTAAAATAACTTGATAGGTTTTCCAGAGGAAAAGAAAAGGCTAACTTTGGGCGATTATCAAATAATCCCCAACAACTTTAAAAATATAAGACGGAATTTTTAAGTTTAGATGTTATAAGGAAACCCTTTTAACTTCAATATATTTTCATAAACCGCCCTCGAAACATGAATCTTAATTTTCACTTGCAAAAATATTTCGAGGTGTAATCTTACTAACCCATGTGAAAATTCTAATTAATGATATTTAGGGAGTTTCCTTACATACACTTATTGGGGGGTTTCTAACAACCCCTCTAAACTTAAGGGGGTTCTTTTGATATTTTTAAAGTTATGAAGTGTTATTTGATCACGATCCAGGGTTAAAAAACAGGGGCTTTCTCTTATTTTGGCAATAGTCAATCTGAAGTAAACTCGCTTCCAAAAATTAAACGAAACGTATTTTGTCATATTAGACCCCCAGATCCTTGTTGATTTATATCCAGCCCTTAATCTTTAATTTCCGAATTGGACCCATATTGAAATCTTCGTCTTGGTTTGAAGTAGGGGTCCTATATATTGACAACAACTTAATAGTTTGTTGGTGTCAATCCAAAAAGCCGGGTGGAATTTATAAATAATAAGTATCTAGGGGCCCAATATAGGATTAAGAAGATATGGGGTCTAAGATGACAAAAACCCAATATAGGCCCCAGTTCTAGTGAGAAAAATCAATTCCTTTCCTTAACCTATCAGGATTCGAGTTGGCAAATTAACAAATAGGAAACGCTGCAATTGAAGATTTTAAACCCGATCTGATTAGGACTAAGTTTAACGGCCACTAATTAAATTTCTGGTGAAAATCCTTATCCTAATCCGTCTCCAACTCGTATTACAAACGGAAACTACCGACATATATCCAAATTAAGCCTCCCTCCCTCGCTCCCTCTCTCCCTCTCTCTATATATATATACATGTTTGTATGACACTGACGCAAAGCTCTAAAGCGCATTAATTCTAACAGAGAGACGGAAACCAATTGATAGAGAAGAAAGAGAGAGAGAGAGAGAGCTGAGAGAAGAGAGGGAGGGTTAAATATCATTCACGCGCGCAACATCGCGGCCATGGTTTCGGAACGAGTTCGAGATGTTTGGGGCCACAATCTGCATCAAGAACTGGGCTTCATATCGGAGCTCTGCAAGAAGTCGTGCAACTTCGTCTTCCTCGATGCCGAGTTCCCGGGCTTCCTCCAGTCGCCTCCCCGCGGCTCTTCCGTTTCTGAAAAAGAGCGGGATTGACTTCGGCAAGAATCTCAGGGACGGGGTCAGCGCGGACGTTCTCTCGAAGGGGCTGGTGGAGAACTCGCTGCTTAGGGGAGGCGAAGGGCTGAAGTGGATCACTTTCCACGGCATGTACGACCTCGCGTACCTGATCAAGATCGTCTACGGTCAGACGCCTCTGCCGGACACGCTGGCGGGTTTCTTGAGATTGGTGAGAAAACTATTCGGTACGAGGGTCTACGACCTCAAACATATGGCGAAGGAGTACGACGCGTCTCTCTCTGAGGTGGGCCTGGTTAAGCTTTCGAGGGTGCTGGAGATCGAGTGGACGGGGAGCTCGCATCAGGCAGGGCATGACAGCCTGCTCACGGCAATGGCGTTCTGGAAGATGAAGAGGGAGTTTCCGGATTTTGACGAGGGGAAACATGCGGGGATACTCTATGGATTCGAAGAACACGGGAAAAGGGAGTCGGGGAACATCGTGATGCTCTTCAATCCTGTAGCTCTGGCTAGCATCGCTTTGAGCCGTCAGAGTTGTGCGCCTCTAGCGCCCTTTCGTCGTGCTCCTCGGCTGTATGCTTATCGTGGCGTCTTTCCGCCAGGCTGTGGTCCTGTTCCTGGGCCGCCGTTTGCCTACCGTGGTGGCTTTCCCGCGGGATACCATCCGATTCCGAGTCCCTACGGCTACTGGGCCGCTCCGCCACAGCCTTCTCCCTTCGTCTCAGTGTAAATACCAGTTTGCTTCCGCATTGGCTGTCAACGTGTACATGCGTTTGTGATACATACCAGTTTGTGAAGAGTTTCTTGATGCTGTGAACAGTGGATGGATACGCGTATTGTTTTTATTTCATGTTGGCGTCTGTTTAATTAGCTGTGGATTTTAGACTAGCATAACCCTTAATTTTCATGTTGACGTCTCATGTTGGTATCTTTTTAGTTGCATGTATTGGCTTCTGATAAAGGTTGTTTTAATTACCAAAGGTTTAATTAAAAGAGAGCAGAGATTTGTTCGAAGCAGTCCAAGCTATCAGGAGATCAATCAGAATAGCTAGCAAATAATATTGTAGTGTCTCTGTTGTTCGATCGGATAGTTCTTTTAGCCTATATATCCTGAAATTTTGATCAACATCATTAATTTCCTTTTAATTTTGTTGTTTTCTCCTTATCATTTGGGTTTTTATAATTATTGTTTCCTCTAGATTTAGGGGGCACCTCGTTGGTGGCAATTTTATTGCGTCTGTGTTCCATCGAATAGAAGCTTGCAGCATGCGTTGGGATGAAAAAACACAACTTTCAAATTTTGCTATTTTAATCTCAGTCTGAGGCAATTGTCGATTTGGTTAGGTACTGGACCGAGAAGCACTAAATGTTCACACTAGTAGAAAACGAGCTTTTACCTACGGAATTTCAGGAGCTTTTTTAATTTTTTTCAGGAAAAGAAAGTACACAAGAACACAAGTAAATACATATACACGCCATGTTTACATACCTAACCCGTCCAAACTGGACAGATCCAATAAATATTTATATATAAGCCCCCTCTCACATACGCGTACAAAAAAGTTATCGGACCGAACAAGATGGTCTCGTATCCGCCAACGATCCTGTACGCGTATGTGACAAGTAAATAAGTTTGGACTGTTAGGAGATCCCAAAAGCAATCAGCAAATGGTTTAAACCGTTTGGGATGTTTAGCAACAATCCGAAGCGCTCGGCGGCCTTGACGACAAAGAGGTCGTCCGCAACTATTGCAACAACACCGGCTTCCAGCGCTGGCGCAAGATCTACGGTGTCCTTCAGAATCCCTCCCTTTTCATCTATATAATTTATTACCAACAACAGATTTTCTAATACATGTATGGTGTCATTCAGAATCCCTCCCTCTCGCAACAATATTGCTAAATTTATCAATGGTCCCCTACGTATCCTACGATAATCAACACAATTTGAGCTTGATCCGCCCAATATCCTACTCATGTGGATGTTCCTGTGTAAATCTCTAATGACAGATGGTCCTCGAGGTATGGAGGTTTTCTTCGAAGCATAAAATTCTTGGACAATGACGAACAGTAAATGGAGTAAAGTCTTAGTAGCACCTGAAAACATGCGCAATACAATCTCCTCTCCCATTGAACTCATCTAATTTCATAGAAAATGTGTAGTACTTATTTGCTTACACACTCGGTTAAAATCTGATACATGCATATGCAAATTTTAGAAATACTTCAACATAGAAATTTTATAAAATAAAATTTTAAATATCATATGTGAGAATTTACACATACTTACACACATTTGAGTAACCAGTTCCATGCATATAAAAATTCCATACAACTTCTGTAGATATAATAAAATTTATGTATGGAAATTTTACAGCTTATACAATTTTGAGAAATAAAAGTTGTCTGCATATGAAAACTTCTACATCTTCTCTTGATTGATTTTTTATAAATATTAATATTAGTATTTAATTGTGAATTATTATAAAACATTCAGTATTCAAGGATTTTAAATGGAATATCATCGAGAAACATGAAAATTTAAAAAACATCGAGAAGAGCATATCCAGCATCATACGCAGGAAATTTATGAAGAAGATGTCTTCATAAATGTATGTGTGCAAATATGAAATCAAGTTTATACCTACATGCATGTCCTTAATTTTTTTCATCTTTTCTTAATTTTTTCATCTTTTCCTCCTTATCATAGCCCTCGGGGGTTGTATATGCTCTTCTAGCAAGAAGAGTTGACGGCATAGTCAAGGCGTCCTGTGAATAATCAAATTTCAAGTTATTTCTAATAAAATATGAAACTTGTAACATGAGTTGAGTTTTAATATTTTGATCTAACCGGATTTTCACACATATATTTATACTCGATCTGAGCGTAGTGAGTAGCTCCCAGAAAGTGATCATATAGCTTTGCAACGTGATTAGCCGATGCTATCAAACATTTATCCTTCAAAATAAAGTAATTTTTCACTATATGCGGTGGTAATATAATGAATTAAAAATAACTCACCTTCTTCTCACCCTCCCACTCGATAATAAGAGTCATCCAATTATAAGGAGAAACCCTCTTATCAAGCTGATGAATCCACTTCCAATCAATGGTTATATCCGTAAAGTATTGACTCTTAAGTCTACTCCTCCACCCCCGAAGTATCTTGCTATCTCTACTCATTATGTTATTGCGGTTTTGCTACAAAACTCTGAAAGTTCCTAGGGGGGGGGGTTGTATAGTTTAACCTATTTTAAATTAGTCTATGTTTGCAATATATTCACATATCCTCCAAATGGATATATTTGAGACAAGACATGACATATTCATACTTAAAAGAGATATCCTTGTTACTTTTAATCTAGGATGAATGCTCTGCCATCATAGTAGTTATATGGCAACCAATAAATTTCACAGATTCCATTCTCTCTAACAGGGAACAATACTCAGTTTAACTTGAATTAGAATTTATAACTTTTCAGAAATTACTTGTCGATCACTGGATGAGACAACTAAGAAAGTATGAAGAACCGATACAGGAGCAAAGATAAAGTTGTACCAAGTGTTATAGTCTTCTTGCTGACATTCTATAGTTGATAACATTATATTAGAGGAAAAGGATTCAAGCTTTACTTTCTTGCTGACATTCTTGAAACTAGCCCTGCTGATGAGGGAGAATGCTAGGTGGAAGACATCAGCTCCTCTGTAGCTAAGAGGCCTGAGCCTATTGTAGTCTTCTTGACCTGCACAAACTCGAATGAAATGATATATTCATCTAATTTTCAAATCAAGCCCCTTATTATTTTCCTGGTAAATGATATCAATGTGGTATTTTGCCTCCAAATGCAATTACGAAAAAAATTTTGGCAGACAAATTATACTAAAAGAGATCACCAAAGTGATATTTGTGTCTTTACCAAGATTCACGATTAACCCATCAACAACCACATTTGCGCTAAAAGTTAGTATCTTTTTTCATTAAATATAGGTAGAATATTTAAGAAAAAAATTTGTAGTGTTTCTATATAAACTATACAACAATCTAACAATAGTACTGAAATGAAATGACAACAACCTTAGTCTCACAAAGAAAATCAGGATTTTAATTATTCCTTAGATTTTGGGGAAACAAATTGCATCTTTCTGTTTTATTATTGTGAGTGGGATCCACCTTTCCCAAGTGAAGAGTAGCAGCTGGGAAAACGCGTGAGTTGATGAGGAGGTTTCAAAGCACGCGGTTTCAAGCGTGTGGGGGCCACACAAATGCCTTGGTGAACGAAAATATGGCCAGGCCCACCCGATTATGCTGTTCATATATATAATAACAGGATTCTTCCTAGGGTTGTGTGCGAAGGCTAAGGGGGAAAACGGCTGCGTGCAAGGGTGTGCGGCTTTGGGTTTTTTGTCTTTGGCAGAGGTGCAGCAGGGGAGAAAACCAGAGAAAGTTTTTGGGCTGCATGCATCAAGAAGACAGAGGCTTCGTGAAGAGAGAAAAAGTATTTGGAGGCTGACCTTTTCTTGAGAAGAAAAGCAAGGACCCTATTTGAGGGTTTAGATTGTGAGAGTTGTAAACCCATTGTATTCTTTTTCTCTTTAATAGTAGATCTCCCCCTCCTTGCCCCGTGGACGTAGGCAGTTTGCCGAAACACGTAAAAATTGGTTTGTTTGAGTTTGTGGCCATTGTAATAGTTTTTGGATCCCTCGACAAGTCAGTCCTAGAACTGATGAGAGGAAGAGAACAAGAATTCTTATCGATCTTTCTCTCTTATTGTGCACCAGAAACTCTGCCGAAATTTCCGCTGCGCACAACAAGTGGTATCAGAGCTCGGGCTACGCTTGGGCTATTTGGAGGAGTAGATCAATTTGGAGGCTCGTCTAGGGCTTCGTTTGGTGATAAAGGTGGGATCTTTTGGTAAAGATTCTATCTTTCAGTTTTTTGGATCTATTCTTCATTCGTTGGGGCGTTGAGAAAGCTGTTGGGGAAAGAAGGTGCTTCGGGTGTCGAGGGTGGTGCTTCTGGCGAAGAAGGTGCTTCGGGAGTCGAGGGTGGTTCTTCTGGCGCGAAGACCATTCAGAGTTTGAATATCCACTCTATGAAGATAGATGTGGAGAAATTTAATGGCACAAACAACTTTGGATTATGGAGATGCGAGGTTTTGGATGCGCTGAACGCGCAGAATTTGAAGGATACCTTAGAGTTAGATGGCAAGCCAGATGAGATTGAAGAGAAGGTTTGGAAAAAGATGAATCGAACGGCGTGTGGTGTGATTAGATCTTGTTTGACTCAAAATCTAAAATATGATGTAATGAATGAGACTTCTGCAAAAAAGATTTGGGAGATTCTCGAAAGCAAGTATCTGACAAAGAGTGTTGAGAACCGCTTGCATTTGAAGAGGAGGCTTTATCGTTTCCAATTGAAGAAGGGAACCTCCATTAGAGATCACATGAACCACTACACAAAGCTTCTTGCGGATTTGGCGAATGTGGATGTCAAGATTGAAGATGAGGACAAGGCGTTGCTGTTGTTGAGTTCCTTGCCCGACGAGGAATATGAGACCTTCGTTCTTACTCTGATTAATGGGAAGGCATCACTTTCGTATAGTGAGGTCACTGCTGCATTGGTGAATTATCAGCTTCGGAAGAAGGATAAGGAGAATTCGACTGAGTCGGTAGCAGAGGCGTTGGTCGCAAGAGGGAAGAATCCAAACCGGAAGAATTGGAAGTCACAGTCTAGAGTAGGGCATCCTACAATTGGAAAAGATCAGTGTGCTTGGTGCAAGGAGACTGGTCATTGGAAGAAAGACTGCCCAAAGCTCGACAAATGGATGAAGAATAAGCAGAATGGAAAAGGGAAGCAGCCATCATCAGAAGCAAACATCGTATCAGATGGTAATAATTCTGACTCTTCTATTTATTCGCTTTCTATCAGTCCTACAGATAGTTATTCGGA